ATTAAATAGAACTGAGTTAAATACTACTATTTACATTATCCAGCAATAATGGTACCTTACAGGTGTTTGCATAGATATGCATGTAGACTGAATGGGTATGGAAGGCAGAATGGGTGGTTAGCCATAAAGCTATATAGGCTTAACAGAGGATATCTGTACATGAGTATTTAGAATTTGGAGCACTGGTAGCAAAGTGTTTACACATTGAGCTGCTAAATGTAAGATCAGCAGTTCGAAATCACCATCTTCTCCATGGGAGAAGGATCAAACTTTCTATTCTCACAAAGGTGGTTGTACTCTGTTCTACAGAGTATCTATGCATGTGGCAGAGTATCCAGGGAAAAAGTTATAAAACTTAGATATAACCAAACACTTTAAGAGAATGATTTGCTGGACCTTGGTATGCAGGACCCTAGTCTTGGGGGGGAACACCAATATCAATTAGTCCACAAAGAAAATGTTTTAGATTCCATTTTTATAAGAGTGTCTGACCTCTTTAAAGCTCATGAATGGCCATCAGAGGTGCAACTATTGTTCTCTCTCTTTCTGGAGGAAAGAACAGGTGATGACAATTGAAGATGAATGGTAACGATTAGTCCAAAAGACCCTATGGACATGGATCCCCATGACCCTGAGTTGTTTGGCTACCAAGTGTTCTGAGAGCAATCACAATCAAAGGTCCTGGAATGAGCGGGAAACAACATGGAACAAAACTAAAGATCACAAAAAAGTGGAGGCTGACTGGGTGGATAGAGGTGGAACGAAACCCACAAGATCACGGCCCTTCCTCACCGTACAGGTCTACAGTAGAACGCATTCACATGGCTCAATTTTCAGCCAAATAATAAACAGATAAACAAGGGGAGCATTAATACTAGTGAGGGAGGTGCACCCTTGAAAAATCATCCCTTTGAGGTCAAAAGGACAAAGTTTAGAAGATAGAAAGAAGAGAAACAGGAGGCACAGGGAAGAAGTCAAATCTAAAGGATGTTACTGTGAAGAAATGATACTGAGATGAAACAAAAGGTGTATGAATTGTTCAATGTAAAATTATGATTTGTTCTTTAAATCTTCATTCAATTCTTATATTAAAATCCTAAAAAAAAAAAGGAAAAGATTACAACCATGGAAACCCTATGAGGCAGTTCTATTCTTGGTGGCAATGAATTAGCTGGTTTTTTGGTTTGTTGAGAAAAGTCAGTTAAATCTTGCTCAAAGGGAGCTAATGGAACCTAAACTCAGGGTGGGAAGGTGAAAACCATCCAGAGTATATGTGGACAGCCTAAATGTGCCAACTGAGCGGGACCCTTGGCTACAAATCGATTTGAAACTTGGAAATCTAAGGAGTTCCATCAAACACAAAACTAGAGGCAATGATGCTGGAGCTAACATCGCTGGATCGGAGCCACCTAAAAGACATCTGAAATGGGCTCTGACCCCTCACCTTGTTTTTCCTTGTTGGAGGCTATCGAGTTGATTCTGACTTAGAGTGACACCATGTGACAGAGTAGAGTTGCCCTGTTTTGTAAACTGCAAACTTCATGGGGACAACTAGTATAGGGCTGATAAATAACATAAAGAGGCCCGATTAAATTTGAATTTAAATCACTTGCTCACTGCTGTCTAGTTGATGCCGACTCATGCATCCTATAAGACAGGTTAGAACTGCCCCCGCATGTTTCTAAGATTGTAACTCTTTACAGTAGTAGAAAGCCTCGTCTATCTCCCACTGAATTTAGGATAGACAAGTTATAAACTTTTTTTTGTATAAATCAATGGGTGAATTTGAACCACCACCCTTCCAGCTAATAGTTAATTGCAAATCTGCTTCACCAACAGTGTTCACACTTGTGGTTTAAACCCTCTCAGCCCAGTTTGGTCTGGTCACAAATGAACCAAACTTATCCAAAGTAATTGTGACTCACTTAAAAGTGGCCTTAATCACAAACTTCATGAAAGTTCAAAGTACACCTGGTTAGTCTGAACTGGCTTCAACTCTGAGAGAGAGGTTTGGGCCAGTTACTTCCTTCACAGAGTACATCTGACCAGTTGCAAAGGGAACAAAGAAATTCACAGTGATGAATGTCAAGTCCTACGCTGGAGGTTGCCCCCACATTATCTGTGAATCCTCTCAATAGCCCAGTAAAATATATATAATCAACCTATACTTCTGAATGTAAAGTAACATGCAGAAGATTTTTAAATCTATTTAGTGGCAGAACTAGTATGGGCATCTCATACACTTTCTGTTTCGTTCCTTCTCCTCTCAATGGAAGCAGAACCTTAGCCACAGGTAAATATTGGGGCAGGGGTGGGTGGAGCAGGGCAGGTTCTGGCTTTAATGTATTAGACCTAAGGGACAAAGGGAAACCTTTAAAACATTCAGAAATCCCTGGGTAGAAAGAAGCAACAGAATGTATTACTGCCATCAATCGTGATGAAAATTTCTTATGGATTAATGAGCAACATCTAGATGGGATGCAGCTCTGGGATCATTCTTTCTCCAAACCAAACTTACTTAAAAATGCTTGTTGCCTAAGACTCAAGGGAGCACACATGATTTTTGAGAGGGGGGTATACAATAGCTAGACAGAGTAAGTTGTAAAATGCTGAGAAGTCTTGAAGGATTTTTGTTCTACTTACCCATTCCTGTCCAGGACCCAGCAGTGGACTTTAGTGTTGACCCATAATGACCTTAAGATCGCCTGAGTGACCACAAGGTGATCTCACCTTGCTGATGAGATCACATTTTCTGAAACACTCATTCTTTTCTTTACTGAAGCCTAGCTGTTAGAGCAAGTCTGTGATTGTTCTAAGCTCTGCCACATCTAGTTGCCCCTACTTTGACCTACTACGCGCCCCCAGATGATGCTTTCTTGTTCACAAGACCATTATGGCCAGGCCATAAATATGTGCAGTGTGGTCTATTATCTTTGGAACTGGTTGAGCCAGATACCTCTTCCCATGTAGGTTCTGCCCTGGAGTACTGAGTACATGGAAAATAGGATCCCAGTAGAAAGGGTTAGGAAAGAACTTGAACTTTCAAATAGGAGAGGAAAAGTGAGAGGTTGGGGATCTCTCACTAATCCTTGCCCTCACAATGCTCTGACTAAGCACGGGGTCCTTGGAGTGCTTCCTTACCGTGGACAACCCCATTTCCTCGAGACTCAGCACTGGCTTACATATAGCTGGTGTAGGGTTATCAGATAAAATCCAGGCAGTCCAGTTAAACTTGACTTTTAAATTGATAACTTTTAGTTACCAATAACTATTTAGTATAAACCACTGTTTATCTCAAATTTAAATTTAACTTTATTTGCTAAATCTAGCAACACCAAGGAGGTATGGTCGGCTGTGAGTCCATCGATGGTTAAAGGGGTTGATTTCTTTCTTCGGTTTTATTGTCTGCCCTAGTCTTCGTATGTTTTGTTCTGTCTTTTTAAGTCTTTCAGCTTGTATTTATCATTGCTAATGCATTCTGATGTTTCTAGCCATGATTTCCTTTTGTATTTGCTTTTCTAATCTTTGACTACATAACTTTGCAATCTTTCTGCTTCCTGCTTTTCTTTTTCCACTAAAATGCATGTTTGTTAAGTATATATATTTTTCATATCTCGTACTCTTATATTTTGGAGTCCTTCTACATACAGGACTGCTGGGCAGATGTGCAGACATAACTAGGAAGAACAACTAGCCTCACTGAGAGTCTCATCATGCTAGGAAAATATTAAGTGGGACTCGTGGGCTAAAGATGGGTTTTCTAGCAGGGAGGTGCCTTCCCTATCCAACTTGAATCTTGGTCAGTAAGATACAGTGGCAGGGGAGAAGGGGGGCCTGAGGAGGTGTTAAGGATGGGCTTACCTGCAGAGAACAGAAGGCCTGGGTAAATGGTGGCATCCGGACTAGATAGGAGGCAACAATGATGGCAGAAGAGTAGTGAGTGCAGTAGTGGCACTGGACAGTCAGGTCTCCTGAAACAAGAGGATAGTTCCCACCGTCTGCAACCTCTGGTCAGATGCAGAGGCGTGGACCATGTGCCACATCACACTGGAGCAGCAAACAGGAGCTCTGCAAGTCCATGAGCAGATGCCACTGTTTGGGTCAATAGCCCCCATGAGTAAACAGCTCCTTCAAGACCTGGCAGCTATAACAACCAAGGTGTCTGCCTTCGAGGAGGTGGGGTAGGCCAGCTCCAGGAAGGTCATAACCATGGATTTATTTTTTTGTTTTGCTTCCCCTTCCCAAGCCATTTTATTGGGACCTAATCCAGACATCATGCCACTCCATAATTCAATGATGTCAAGCAGTGCTGTACAATTGCTACCTCA